CATTAAAGGAAGTCTGTCAACCGCATTGTTTTTTTTTAAATTAAATCTATTGTGTTGGTGTAAACAGGAGAAATTATGCAAAGATTTAATTCAGCGACAGCTGAATGATTTTGAAAAATAATGTAATTGTGACCATACCCCACCCCCTCAATATTGTGATGGTGATTTAATATCTGATTAATATTTCAAGATCTTCTTCCCCTGTATTTTTCTAAACACAAGCAATACATTAATCTGTATCACAATGAACAAAGACAGATTCATGATACATTAGGGCTGCCAAGATTCGTCATCTAGTCCGAACTATGTCAACAATCAAAATTGGTGACAATTAATTGAATTGTCGACGAGTCATTTATTGTGTGTGTTTATGTGTTTATTTATTTGATGCTTTGTTTTTTTTCTCCCGCTGTTCCTGCTGGCATCTCTGTGACACACAGTGCAGTTATGGTCATCATCCGTCATCCGTGATGTAAACAGAAAGCACTGTGGCTAAAGCAGTCACATGGCTAATCAACATTAGCAACTGAACGTTTGGTCTATTTAACTAAAAATACCTAATATGATGCAAACCTGCCTCTCAAGGCAGCAAGACAGGGATGCTCGATCATCTAAAAAGGAAGCCCGTTGTGCCTGATGCCTGATTTTATTTCTAACATAGGGACAGTCATGTCTACAAGTGTGCATTAGTACACAAAGCTTCCCGTCTGTGTTTGATGTAGTGTTGTAACATGATGTCCTATTTGCTACATTAACATATAAGAGTGTCTGCTATGGATTACGTAGGTATTAGTCAGTGAACTCCTGTTTATGGACAACCAAAACACAGCTAATGTGTGTCCGTCTTTGACATCAACACAGGAACAGCACATGCACTCAAAGCCAGTATCTCTCCATTCCCACAGTTGTGAACGCTAACGGTGTTGTGTTTAAGAATAGCAACACTCAAGTAACAGAACACTACATATTTGTCACAAGCAAATACATAACAATGAAACAGATAATCTAATTCATGACAATACACTATGTTACAGCGCTAAAACACATTTGGTGGTCCTAATATTTGGGAATTTTTCCTTTTCAGGTACATACCTAGTTTAATTTTGTAGATCAATGTCCTACTTTTAAATTATGCATACTGGTGAAGCAAAACAAAACTTTTTGGATAAAGTTTATTGGGTAACGCAAAATTAAAAACCATGACAAGGGTTTATTTTCATTTTCTTTAGCATAGTGCCTTTTTCTTTGTAATAGCTCTCAAAAATGCTTGGTGCCTGGGAAGAGTGAAATGTTTACAAGTATTTCTTTTTGTATTTATAGATGGTTTCATAGCATTAGTGCAATTTGCATTGTGTATAGATTCTGGTTCCATTTTACAATGCACTAAATATTTACAGCTAAAAATTTGAAGGCCACAGTATCGCCTTGTTGAAAAAAATCAGTTCTGGGAATTCTCTTTGGAGACTTAGTAAGTTTCTGCTCCAGTGGCAAGTGCTAAGGTTGCGGGTGCACAACTCTGTCGGCTGCAATTATGACAAGTTGATTCCAGGAAGCCCTATGTGGCATTTCTAACACAATGTAAACTACGGTTACCTCATCTGATCAAGGTTCAGACCCCCGCATACAAATTTAAGGGGGTTCACACCACACATGTGTACACTGGCCCTCTTGACAGTTCGAAATTGTCGTGGGAGCACCATAGTTTTAGTAAACAATTTGATTTACACAGACCAATGCACTCCACATACACCTTCATGCCTTGGTGTCTGGCATTTATCAGGTGGGCTGCTGAGAGCTCCCTGCCACTACTGATCCATCAGTAGCAGGGTTCTGCAGGTGGTCAGTGAAACCTGAGAACTCGGCTTCGTTCACACAGGAGCACCCCACCCACCACATGCATGCTAATGTTGGCTCGCTGGAGCAGAAATGAATAAAGTCCTGCAGCCATCGAACTGTCAACATGCTCACATAACCTGATTGTCCTTCTGTGTGAAACACAGCACAAGGACCTAAAAGCAAATGGATGCCTTGTAGCCCACAGTTAGGTTATGCTGCCGTCATGCAGTTTTTTTATGGATGTGACTTGTCATCTCATGCTTTATTGGTGTTTTGAGGTAAAAAAATATGTCAGCGTTTTTTGACTTGGTGAGAAGTGAACTTGTTTTTTAGGTCACTGAAAAGAACAGTGCTGTACCAATTACCATACATCATAGAATCTTAATATATACCAAATGTTTTGTGTTTGGTCGACAGCAAAAGAAGCTTAATCTGTACAGGGATACACTAAAATGTATTTTTTGTGCAATAGCAAATCATTGCAATTATGCTTTTTTTTTTTTTTTTGTCAGTCATGGTTGTATTGGTGGGTTTGTAGGGTTTTGAACCACAAATTGAAACGGTGTAGTATTCTGAACAGGGGTGCAGATTCATTTGGGGTAAAATAAGTAAATACTGGGGCATTGGAGTCCAAGTGCTTTAGAATATAGGGAACTTCCCTTACACATTTCAGAGGTGCCTTTGAGCAAGGCAGCTAAATATGTCTTTACCCCATGCAGTACAGTTCCGTTTGGATTGCCACAGTTTAAAATGGCAAATGTAGGGGGAATTGGGTATGTAAATAGTGTTAACCTAGCATAGCATAGTGATTCTATAACTTAAAAAATAGGCATGTGTGAATACTACTACTCTGTAGTAGTGCACTGTATATTTATGTTGTTTTTGTGGGTGTTATTGTACCACAAATTTGGTAGTTCTCTGTCAGCCAATCAATGGACAGAAACATTTGGAATGCTGTACTGCAGGGATGTCAAACTAAGTTTTGTCGCAGGCCACATTTTAGTTACCGTTTCCCTTGGAGGGCCGTTATGACTGAAACCATGTAAAAAGAGTTGTTGATTCAACTCTTGTTTAAGTTACTATCACGAGAGGTTTTGTAACCAGAAAATGCTAAGACTATCTCTCTTATTTATTACACATGACAATTAAAATTTTGATAGACATTTTAGAAAACAACATGGAAGTTGACATGTTTGATCTGCTTTTGCGGGCCACATAAAATGATGTGGCAGGCCAGATCTGGCCCCCAGGCCTTGAGTTTGACACCTATGCTGTCCTGAAATCCATTGGGATGGGGATAAATAAATGCACCAGCTTTAGCATTGTCGAGGTTACAATTACCCACTCAAACTTAAATAACACAAGAAAATTTTAAGAAACACAGTGGTGCCTTAGGATACTTGTGACCCAATTCATGAGTTTTCCGAAAAACAAACCTACCTTTATTAGAGTGAGTTTTTTTTGTTTTTTTTTTTGATTGCAAGCAAAAACTAGAGCTACGAGCACTGCATAGTGGCAGTTAACTCACTTCGCGATAAATAATACTTTGGCAAATAGTGAACATGTAAAAAAAAAATAAAATAAAAAAATAGGCTTCAAGCTGTGTAATGCCACTTCCGGTTAAAGTTTACTGTCAAACTAAATGCACGTTGGAGAATTACTCATTGTACTGTATATTTCAAAGAAACACAAAGCTTAGCCTTTCGTCTGCTAGCTTAATGCTATTGCTAACACACAATGGGAAACGTGTACTGTATAGACCTTTTAAGTCACTGATATTTGAACACACAAGGTGCAGCAACACATTTAGACATCCACTATCGCAGTGCTCACAGTCATAAATTTATTCTTTGTGAGGAGGTCAGACTGTCTGTGTACTCTATATATGTACTTGTAAAATATTATACTATATCCATCTGTCTGTCTTATACTGCCCTCAAGTGGCCAGGGTGGGAAATAGCACAATGTGCATTAAATTAAATGAGAAAGTGTGTGTATAATCCTATTTAATAGAGTCTGTAAAGAGGAAAACATGTATTTAATGTTGACATACCTGAGAGAAGAGTGTTGTTAAAAAGCATGCCAAATTTGTATTTAAATAAAAAATACCATGTACATGAAATCAGGCTTGAAAATTGTGAACATTTTCAATTCCCTCAGCTCTCAGATGTTGTGGGTGTGACGCTGACGCTGAATAGGCTGGAAATGCTCTCTTCTCGAGTCCTGTCTCTCAAATAGTACATTCTTACAGTAATGTGCTCAAATATCTTTCATTGCATACATTATGCCCGTAGTATGACCCACAATTTGAATACTGTGTTCCCCTCTGTTTAATAAATGGATAATCCACACACCGACACAACACCAACTGAGGCGGAGATGTATTAGATGACCCTGGTGCCAGTCCACGACGTCCATAAGCTCCTTAACTAGTGAGCTAGCCTCCATCTAGGCGAACAAACAATCAATTTTCTCTGAAGATTCTCTGTTGCATAGAATTAGACCGCCACGCCGCTGTTCCGCAAGCCAGCTAGCCCGCTAGGTAGCCGCTAGTTCCCACTAGCTAGCTGGCTAGCTCATGAACTGGCGGACTGGCAGCTGGGCTGTCCAATTCTCCACCGTCTCGCGCCGCATACTGCACGTGAGAGCCAACACAACAAAGACACTGTAACCCCAAGAACACAAAACACGTAAGACTTGAGGGAAAAAATATTTTTTTAGCATAACTTCTTCGCAAACTGCATGCTGTTTTAGAGATGGCTTATTATTCTCGCTATTATGATGGAGATGAAATAAGGGCACTCATCACTTATTAAGTGGGGGTGAGCCAACTGGGCCTCGTTTTTGCCACGCCCCAAAAATTTACCGCCATGTCTCAACAATTCAGTACTAAATTGTTCTGTCTTTGCACATGTCAGCACTGACCTTCAAGATTTTTTAATATTTTAGAAACAAATAAGAAAAACAACTTCACAGGGTCTTTATAGGTACAAATTATTTTTTTGTTGTTTTGTGAGGAGATTGGAACGGATTAATGGCGTTCACATTCATTTTAATGGGGAAAGATGATTTGCAGTACGAGTGATTTGAGTATTACGACCGTGGTTAGGGAAGAAATTAAACTCGTGAATAAATACCATTTCATTTTGTGACTTTTGCACCAGGTACCATGCAGCCTAGAGTACTGGGATGAGCTCCAGGATGCCTTTGTTCCATATCGAGACTTTAGCCTATCAGAGAGCCGTGCCTGCCAACTGCAGCTTCCCAGTCTCAGCTTCACTGATCAGCAGAAGGAGCTGGTGGCCTCAGATGTCTGGAGGATCGTCCTCAACAATAACAGCGAGGGAGGAGATGAACAGAGGTAAAAGAATGTTCATCTTAATGTTGTTGTATGTATTTCCTTGTGCACACACCACCTCATCAATTAGGAGCTTGGCGAGGCCACCGAACACCACACATTCTTCTACCCAGCAGAATTGTCTGCTTCAGTAAAAGTTTTGTGTTTCCATTGTAAAAAGGAGCCAAAAGGTCTAACATGCACTGTTGTTGCCCAGCGACTAATCAACAATTATCAAATCTGCCTGACAGCTGGACGTCAGAGTATAAAGGCAACAAAAAAGCCATTTAAAAACATGATGGTATGCAGTAGAAAAAGCCATTCCTCAAGCAGGATCGTGTTTTTCCAATGCCAATTGTACAATGGGGAACTAAACTGAACCGTGCAGCTTGGTGCAAATTTTAAGATCTCCCTGAACTGCAAAACTACAGAATCCCTTGGCATTTCCTAAATTCTGCCTCCCGCTTTGTGTAAGCTTGGAGAAGCCCTTTGCTTCAGTATCAATGTGCCACAACACGCAGCAAGTTGGTAGGTTAAGTGTGGTATGGAAAAACCTGACTGTCTGGCACAGACCCAACGTCAACCCCATCAAACCTGAGGATGAGTTTCATCCCAAACACATTTGTGATGAATTGCAATCGAAGTTGTGAGCCAGCCCCTCTCATCCAACACCGATGTTCTCGGACCTCACAAATGCTCATCTGAATGAATTCATAGAAATTCCCACAAATACATTCCAAAATGTTATACAGTCTTCCTAGAAGAGCGCAAGATGATGTTGTTGTCTAGTTGTAAGTATCTGTTGGTATAATGGCCTGTCGGTGTCTATTAATATTGTTCTGGCTTGCCTGTACATCTACTCAAACTTACTGTAAGTCGTCGTATGTTGATGTTTGAGCTGTGTTTACTGTAGTTTGCATTTACATCCACAATGAGTGTGAGTGAAAGTAGAGGGAGTGAACATATCCAGGCGACTAAGCACAAAGAGTCAGCAATGGGTCCCTTGTACCACATATGGTGAGCAGGAGCTGGGAGTGGGTTTGGAAGGCGTTCAGATCGGCCTAATGAGATTTCCCAGCACACCAAGTGCCTGTCAGGCCCCATCCGGATTCCTTCCTGCTTACCTTGAGTGTATCTAATCGAGGGAAAGCTCACGGGAAGCATGAAGAGTAAAAAGCTCCCTTTGGTTTGGCTCACAAGTTGCTAGAAGGGTTGGGTCAACTTGTAACACCTCAAAAAGAATGTGTTTGGTCTTCCAGTCTTACTACCACTGCTTCTCCTCTCCAGTATGTCAGCAAACACCTTCTGACTTCTTATGGGCTTCATGCATTCTCTCTTCAATTTCTTCCCATCTTAATTCACTTATTTCCTTTCTCCCCAGTTTCCTCCTGAGATTTAAGGAACTTTAAGTGGAATAGAATTTGGCAAGCCCACATTCTGTGTGGCTTAGAGAGCTCGATGAGCAGGAAGGGAGGGACCAACTAAACATGTAAGAGAAGAAACTGAAAAAAAATTGTGAGTGTAAAACCAAATATACATCTGACTTTCATTATAATCATACGCCAAACTCTAGATGTCCCTTGTTTAAATTATTTGTCTTTTTTGATCACAAATGATTCCACACTGCTAACTCACTCATTTCAACTGTACTTTAAAAAACTTACGACATACAAATTACAAACCCAATTCCAATGACGTTGGGACATTGTGTTTTACATAAATTAAAACAATACAATCAAATGCAAATCATGTTACACCTATACTTAACTGAATACACTACAAAGACAAGATGTTTAATGTTCAAACTGATAAACTCTCTTATTTTTTTTGATAATTAATTGAGACTTTTATGGCTGGAACATATTCCAAAAAAGCTGGGACAGGTGGCAAAAAAGACTAAGTTGAGGAATGCTCATCAAACAGCTGTGTGGAACATTCCACAGTCTAAGTGGGAACAGGTGGGTGCCATAATTGGGTATAAAATGAGCGTCCCTGAATTGCTTAGTCAATCACAAGCAAAGATTGGAGCGAGGTTCACCTCTTTGTGAACAATTGCGTTCGGAAAAAAAGTCGAACAGTTTAAGGACAATGCTCCTCAACGTACTATTGCAAGGAATTTACGGTCCATAATATCATCAAAAGCTTCAGAGAATCTGGAGAAATCACTGCTTGTAAGTGGCAAGGCTTACATGCAGAAACATATGCTGCCATCCAAGCAACTGGACGCCCCTGCTTATTTCAGCAAGACACTACCAAATCACATTCTGCACGTGTTACAACAGCGTGGCTTCATAGTAAAAGAGTGTGGGTATTGGACTGGTCTGCCTGCAGTCCATACCTGTCTCCCATTGAAAATATGTGGTGCATTATGACCTGTAAAATATGACAAAGTAGACCCAGGACTGTTGAAAACCATAAAATATGACAAAGTAGACCCAGGACTGTTGAAAAGCTGAAGCTGTACATCAAGCAAGAATGGTAAAGAATTGTGGACAAGCAGTGGAAGGGTATGATTTGCATTCATGTAAAGAACTTTAAGCTGCATTTTACGTATGAAACGCGCTATGCAAATAAAGTTGGGTGATTGATTGATTAAGTGGCTTCGGTTGCGCTTTCTGTTTACGCATGAATCTTGAATTGAACAAGTGTCAAATCTGCTTCTCCTCATTGCCTTCAGTTCAGATAGTGATTCTGGATCCCAACTACCGTGCGATCAGTTGGTATCGCCCATGGCCCTGGCAGCGTGCACCCGTGTGGACTCCTGCTTTGCACCTTGGTTTGTTCCCTCCTTGGGTGTGTCCCTGCAGCTGGCACAGATGCAAGTTCATCTCTGCCACCATCTAGAACAACTGGGAACAGGTTAGGATGCAGAAAACAGATTCATACCAAACTCAGCCTTCAAAGGCTAGTCGACTAACTTTGAATTTTCTCTCTCGTCGCAGTTCCATCTCAAAAGCTTCGGCCCTTCCTGCCAGACAGAAAGATACCTCAGAAACAAGAGTTCATGGTTATTGGTACTTGGGAGCCACACATTTTCCTGCGTCAGTGGACCAGTGGCCCAAGGCGTTGTCAGGAATTCAACTTTTCCACCCAGCTTGAATGCAAGCTGCTGGAGTATCGAAACTTAACACACCTGCAAGTTCTGCAACCCTGTGTAATACAGGTAGTTCACACTCCAATTACAGAATATGATGAGGGCCAATGCAAACATTTTTAACATAAATGCTGGTTGTAGCAGTGGAGTACAACTGCATTCTGTGGCGTGTATTTCAACCCTCATTTCCGTTTAAAAAAAAAAAAAAAACACAAGAAGAAAAGAAAGCTGTTTCATTCGAGTGTAGTAGCAAGTTCTATCCATTGAAGAGATCTGATTTACATTCCTGTGATTTGTTTCAGGGCCACGCTACAGCCACATGTTGTCCCCAAAGCAGTGTGTGGGATGCAAACATCTTTATGGAGCCTATGTTTGCCACGATCAGTCAGTATGCCATCCACACATTAGACACCGCCGTGAAAAGCTGGCAACAGGTAATACAGACTACACTGTGTATATTAAACCACATCCAATAATTTAGTGGTCCAGAAGCTCTTCTAAACCACCTCACATTTAATGTCAACTGTGTGGTGAAAACATTACCTCTAAGGGTCAGATTAAATAACAGGCATTAATTTCACATGTTCAGTCACTAACTGTGTGCGTGCTGTTGGCTAAAAGTGTAAAAGTGGTGGAGACAGTGATATTTCACGAGGAATTTGAATTTAAGATAGCAGTGATGGTTTTTTTACCACAAAAAATTTGGGAGAGCTCAAATATATACGTTTTTTAAAGTGAAGACATTGGAAAAGTGACTCTGATATGGTGAAATACTTCTCCCCATCCTAATTAAAATTGCATTTAAAATTTAGGAGCGGAATCCCGAAAAATTTCTTTGGGAGTGGCCAGGACCAATTGTCACAGTACGATCAAATCAAATGGCCTACATACAAGGAAATGTGGAGTTGAAAGGAGTTTTGTCATAGGTGGGGCTGTGCACAAATCGGTGGCAACTTAAGCCGAGATCTGAATTGGCCATTTAAAAAAAAATGCCGAATCAGGATTCGAGTGAGAATGAATCATAGCATACTGTCCCATGTAGTAGTGTAACAGGAATGTTTGAACCGTATGTCAGATGAGAACATCAGGTTCACTTAGAAAGTCATAAATTTACTTTTAAAAAAGGATGCTTCATCAACACATCCAGCACAAAACACGGATGTGTTTTATTTTCATTCAATTGTCAATGTTTCAATCTTTTTCATTTTTAATATTGTATAAGTAGCATTCAAGAGGGAGTATTGATTTTTTTTTTTTTCTGGTAAACCTTTAGTGCTGTTTGGTTCTTTCACATGTGCTCTATCTCAAGCGTTACATCCAAAGAGTTTAGGAGATGAAGACTGCAGTTTGTGTGAGCAAAATAGAAGAGCAATTTGGTGTGCTTACATAGTTTTCATTACTTGACGATCAAACAGTAGACATGAGACAAAGCAATTTGATCTTCTCCTCATTTTTGCTTGTGGTGCAGGTGTAGTAAATCTATCAGGGAAATCTCAAGAAAATTCTCTATATGCTCTGGCACAAAGACGGTTGCCTTTGTCCCGTGCCAGGAGGAATACCAGCTAAACAAATGGATAGCAGTTCACAAGACTAGCTTGGATTTGATGAATACAACGTGCCGAACGGGGCATTTTGGTTGTTTGTAAATTGTGACAAAGAGGGCTGCAGTTTATCTGTTGTAGGCCTTTAACGCATTGGAGCTCATCGTCCCTCCTTTCTCAACACTCACCACTGCCTCTGGTAGCCCGCATTGCAGTGTTTGAAGTAATGCCCGAGAAAATACGGTAACATTTGAGTGATGACACCTGCCAAGGCTTCATCTGGCCCAAGTCCTCCACCCACTTCTCTGCCACACTTACATGCTCACACACTTGGGACTCTCTGACTCTGCATGGTTCTGCTCAGCTGTGCTTCTGACTCATTATACTAGACTCTGGAGACATGAACTATCTTCATGGTTTTACTTGGGAGAAATAATAGCTGTTGGTGGGTTTTAGATAGTAAAAACAGCTGTGGTCTTTACCTGTAGAAAATAAAATGTTTCGAGTACAAGTCTGTCTTAAATAAATCCTTTAGCTGAGACTGTGTAAGTTTTTACTCTATCATCAAAGTTCTAACGAGTTATTTTGGATAATGGCTACTATGTGAGCATTGGTTTCATTATTTTATTGGTGTAGGCTAACGCACATTCCCAATTTCTATCCGTTAATTTCACCATAAATAGCACTTGTATGAATGAGTGCTCTAATGAAAACTCAGAGTGCAGCACTGAAGTAGTGTTTTGGGCACATTGATGTCTTTACCCAACTTGCCAATTATGACCACTTGGTCATTTCATATCCCACAGGGATGTTCTTAAATTCACTGTGGGGTGGTTCGTGGAGTTGTTGCGTTTATGTATTGTTTTGATTGGACTAAACAGCAGCAACCTTGGAACTCCTACATAACTACTTCAACCACTTTGCTTAACACAAGGGGGAAACACACCATAATTATGAGGTAAATGTGCTGCATGTGGGTATGGTCGTGTTGGAGACGGGGGTAGAGAGAGGTCAATCACAAAACACAGATCCTGTTGAAAATGGTGGGGCACTGTGAAAGGCCTGAGTTTTAAGTAAGTGCTTGATTTAATTGTGACTAAAGCCTGGACATACACACATGCCCACACGCACATACGCACACGGTTCATATGTCAGAAAATGGGATCCAAATTGAAAATCTGCTTAGTTGGACACTTTAACAGCCTTTGTCCCGCCACAACGGAAGGCTGCATCCTCACTTGATGTAAACATGTTGTGATTCTCGTGGTTCCTGGTTTCAGGGCTGTCAGGCAGGTCTGTTGTGATGTGGCACTAAGGGTCACCAGTGAACCGTAGAAAAGATTCCTCAACTACCACACAAGTTAACGCTATTAGTCCGTGTATAGTCGTACCACATCCTCAGAACCAGAACGGCTGTAAGACTTCCAGATGAACAGTAATAAACATACGTACAACTGCTGCTTTGTTACAAGGTTGTAATTTATACGTACAGAAAAAAGCCACACATACTGTGATTGTCAAGACAACATGGGTTGCTGTTCTACCCATAATAACATCAAAAGCTTCTGACACAAGTATACAAGCCAAAGCCATTTTTCATAATGCTCACCTGTGTACTTACATCTACTTTCTGTTGGCTCTGTCCATCAATCAAAATCAACTCATGTATTAAGCCAGTCTCATGTCAAGTATTGTGGTTAAGTTCAGAGCATATTTGTTTGGATGCCATTAATATACGTTTCAGATGCATCTTTTTTGGTTTATATCCTTGAACTCAGTTGCCCCATCTGGCCCCGACCTCAGCCCCCTTAAATTTTAACCTCAAGCCTCCATTTTCAATTCTCCATCCTCATCTTTGCTCCTCGCTTAGCCACTAAACCTCAGGGAAGTGGCTTCGGGAGAAAGCCACACAAAAGCTTGGCACTATATATTTTCTCACAAAATCTTCATAGGCCTTTATAAATGCAAAAGTTGTTCTCCTTTGTGTATTGCATACATGCATACCCAGAGAGAGAGAGCGAGAGAGAGAGAGAGAGCGAGAGAGAGAGAGAGAGCGAGAGAGAGAGAGAGAGCGAGAGAGAGAGAGAGAGCGAGAGAGAGAGAGAGAGCGAGAGAGAGAGAGAGAGCGAGAGAGAGAGAGAGAGCGAGAGAGAGAGAGAGAGCGAGAGAGAGAGAGAGAGCGAGAGAGAGAGAGAGAGCGAGAGAGAGAGAGAGAGCGAGAGAGAGAGAGAGAGCGAGAGAGAGAGAGAGAGCGAGAGAGAGAGAGAGAGCGAGAGAGAGAGAGAGAGCGAGAGAGAGAGAGAGAGCGAGAGAGAGAGAGAGAGCGAGAGAGAGAGAGAGAGCGAGAGAGAGAGAGAGAGCGAGAGAGAGAGAGAGAGCGAGAGAGAGAGAGAGAGCGAGAGAGAGAGAGAGAGCGAGAGAGAGAGAGAGAGCGAGAGAGAGAGAGAGAGCGAGAGAGAGAGAGAGAGCGAGAGAGAGAGAGAGAGACACACACACACACACACACACACATACATATAACGTGTGTTCCTTTGCAAATTGAAACAATGTGTCAAAAGATAGTTTTCCCGGTAGTAGCAGATATATGGGTGCGAGTGATCTATAGAAGAATATTGAGATCAGAGGTGTTTCACGGCTGCCTCAGTGCGGCTCACAGATGTTGTACATTTTTATTAGAATAAAGCCCTTGCGATGTATCATCGTGGTTTCAAGGAGGTCCCATCATACATAACAATTATCTAAGTAAAAGCCAAGCTGAGGGAACACAAGACGAGACCCAATAGCATATACAGTACAGTACATGTACATAAAATACAGCCATCTGTAGAATGTCACACAAATCCAGAGACAAACAAAAAGCGCATTGTAAATTGGACAGTGATTTCTGAGAAAAGAACAATCAATGATAAATCTGCAGAGTAGAAGCAGTTTATTAAAAACAAACAAACAAGAAATCATCCCAATCTGTGATTGGGGGTATTAGTTTGTCTTCATATAAGTTTATACTGGTTACTGTATATTGATTTTAAATATGTCATTTAAAATTTCTGAATCTAACTTTTGAATGAGGTACTTGAGCTGATGAATTTAATGTCGACAAGTACCATCATTCCAAGTTATAACAAACTTGCCAGATCTGGTTTTAAGTTTTTGCTTGGTGCCAAAAAGCATACCATAGGATTAAAAAAAAAAGAGTAATAGACAACTTTGTCATGATTTAGACTGAAGATCAGTTTGAATTTGTAGCAGATCCTGATCGGATGTATATATTACAGTTCCATTCGCATTAAAAAAAAATGACAAAAGCACGAACTCAATATTGCTAGTAGTTTATCGATAGATGGAGAAGTGGTCCTAATATTAATCCCTGGGGCACCCCTTTATTTTGAATAAACATTTGTTTTTGTTATGAGGATGCGCACTGAACCAAACAACTGCTGTTGAAGAAAAGCCAATGGCATCAAGTTTGTTTCGAAGTGAATCACGACCAAATAAATTAAACCTTTTTGTGAGATCGATAACTGTGGCCCCTGTAAGATTTTCATGATAAATAGCAGAGAATTTATCTTTTGTGAATTTGAGTACAGCCGTGATGTATGATGCTTAGACATTAAGCCAAATTGAAATTTTGATAAGTTAAACGATATTGACAGTTATAATGCAGTGTACAAGTTAACTATAAAAGAGCTTTTCAAATACTTTTGCAATGGAATCAGATAATGGATATAGGACACTTGTTGGTGATGTCAACAACATCACAACCGCTATTTTGAGAAGTGATGTGTGCATGTTTCCACATAAGAGGTCGCCCACAGGTTTCATCATAGATCAGGAGTGCCCAACCTTTTTTGAACCAAGATCTTCTTTTAAAGTAGCCAACCTCCTGCGATTGACTAATGCGTGCATGCGCATTTGCGTACGCATGCTTATTCATAACTAACTGAACTACAGTAACATGAATGAAACAGCAAAAATAAACCAGACACAAGACAGGGAGAGTTAAAGAAAAAAAAAAAAGAAAAGAAAATGCCGCCTACCTATTGGGAGACCTGACATGGGAACTCAGGGACGCACTTCAAAATGCGTGGCTTGTAAAGTGCAGGAACATCATATCGTAGCATGTGTACATTTTAAAATGAATGCCACTCCAAATTCCCTTTCTTTCAATGCCATCGTTGTATTGCAGATCAAACAAACAAGCTTTGAGTCAGAAATAAACCAAAAAAGTATGCATATGTTAATGTTCAGGGCTTCTCTTTTCTTCTCTGATCACGAGCTGCAAGAATCTGCTGACTGCATCCCAAAAAAACATTTCAACATGGTTTAAAAGTCGAAAATTATAGTTGAAGTCATAGGTTGTCTGTGCCCACACCAGTCTAAACGTGGTATTCTATTTAATATTGCGTTTGTGGGATAAGAATTAAGATTTTCATCCATCTCAGGGTGCTGACATTTTGACATTCTACCACCCTCTGCTGTCAGCTGAAATTGACATCAAAGTGCCCTCGGGTTCGCATTGCGAATGTCACGTGACCAAGCCCAGAAAACAGGTGAACTGTGATGTTTCCAGTGTGGGCGAGCAGTGCAGAGAATGCTTTGCAGTGGCGTTGAGAGTTTTTGACTTTTTATGCTCATCTGTTTGGCCACTCCTTATGTAGATGAGTGTAGTTCTATATGTCCATTTCACAGGCTTCACTCTCTGGTTTCATATTTTATGAGTTCTTAGTTTGAGTGGGTATCATTTACAATTTGAATTCCAGACATTTTATGAGTATGCTTCTTTGTGCCACTTGCATCGGGCTCTGAATACTCAAGTAATAGCATCTGAGTTGATAAGTGAAATTGATAGCTTGATTCCTGGTGCATAAAATGACAGTTGTCGTCATTTCATCCTGCGACGAGGTGTATCATAATTTGCTTTCTTTTCAAATGTGTTTTTGTTGTTATTTTTTTCCCTCATGTTGATACACTTAATATCAGCGGATATAAAATAGGCGACCGCAATCACGGGAGGAAGCTGTTGTGACGTGCCCAACATGTTAGCTTGTGAACTTAAGTAGAAAGACGATACCATCAAAGGGCGGGATTAGCGAGATCGCACCAGGAAGTTTGTAAATGTGCAGTGTCAGATTTGATAGGGAGCACGTATACCGTTCCACTGTAAAACTGGAAGTGGATTCGAAACCAATGCAGCTGTCTCAGTTCTCTTTTACTCAACTCTCTCTCTCGCTCTTTCGCTCTCTTGTATTCCCTCACTCCCTCCATCCCTGGCTCCCGCCGTTCCTCCCTCCCTCTCCCGTAGACACCCATCATCAAATGCTGTTTCAACGGTTTAAACTTTCCCATCCGTTTTCAATAGGCTCAACAACCTCAGGACCTTAAACGTGCTTGGCAGTCAGACTCGAAGCTTTTACTGCCAGCCTCTTTATAACCACCAACCCTTCTGCCATTTGAGAGTCTGTCATTTCTTTGGAGTATTGGGGTAGCAGTAAATAAGATGCTGGGAGGGGTGCCCATGAGAGGTCCCCTTTGGGTTGAAATTCTTTGTATGGAGCTCAAAATAAAATTAGAAATTATACATAAGCGGTTTGGATAATGGACGGACGGCTATTTTGCCTATAAACTCTGTTTGATTCCATCAAAGGGACGGAGGAGTACAAGGCATCCATCCCTGCATGACACATATTGGTTTTCTCATTGATCCATAGAGATCAGATTCGAAACGTAGTTTCACAATTCCCGACTAAAGTGCCCTCTTTGTTTAATCCTTTTTTTCTAGATACATCAAGACAGTCCTGAGCACGTCATAGAGTTGCTGTTTCCAATTACCTGACATTTTTGTGCTATCCAAATAAGGACTCATCTAGAAATAATTCTATATGATCATTATATGATTGCTGAAACAACAAATGAGATGGTCGTAGAGCTGAACAATTTCTGACCAAAATTGCGATTCCAGACGTGATTACCAAAGCTTTTGGGTTTTTTTTTTTTTTGTTTGTTTTGTCTTTGTATTTGCAGCGCTCCTGACTGACCCAGAATCTGATATATCAGCTATAATCTGAATGTGAAAATGCCAAATTTGAATGGAAAAAAGCAGAGAGAAGAATCAGTCAATATATCTGGCTCTTTTAACAAGAAATATTTAGTTTTCACATTTGAATAGCTTGATACTTCTTGATATTTTTTTACACTTTTTGTCACAATCCATCTAGTATGTAATGTGAAGGTATCCGATTTGTAGCATGTCATGAATTTTACGCCCGATCATTCAGGCCACGTTTTCTGAAGTCAATATGTGTGTGACATAAATATGAAAAACTAATTTCAAATTTACTCGAGCTGGGCAATATGACTGAAAAGTATAAAATACGTGATGGAAGTATTTCATATTGGTCAGTATCGGTATGTATTGATTTTTTTTTCTAATAAGTACACAGAGATAAAAGGCTGAATTTGGGTAATTTTATTTTAACATATAGTCCTTCATCTTTATTAAAGAAGTCAACACAACTATGAAAAAGTCAAATAAACTGGTTAAATCAATTCAAACAATGAAATAAATGCCTTTTTAAACAATGTGCTTTGTCGGGCTAAATCACAATTCAATCTGTGCTTCAAGTCATTCGGCCCTCAATGCCGGCCTAAGATTTGTGCACTGCTCTTTATACTTGTCATAGTGGTTAAAATATAAATTAAGATTAACTGGTTGAGTTACCAAAACAATTGTTTTATACTCCTTTAGGAAGTAGGATGTCTGAAAGTCAAGTATTTCTTAAGTCGAGAAACCAGGATGGCTCTCAAGTTCATTCCAGGCAGTATCCTGGTTAGCTGTCAGCCTGTGATTTGTTTTACTCCCCTGTTGGGGTTATGTTGCTCCCACAGATGAACTCATCACAATCTCCTACTGACTCACAGCTGACCTGGCAAGGTCCCTTTTATTTTTTTTTCTTGAAGATCAAGAACCCATACGCTGCTAGCTTGGTGTTGTAAACGCGCTTGCAAGCTGGGCACAATTCATGATTCCGAGCCTAAGCGCTTTCTCCTGTCACATTCCCTAATTAATCAATCAATCCAATCTTCACTCTAACCTCGAACCACCATTGTACTGCTCATTTACAGAATGGAAACCCAGAGGCTGAGGAACTACTTTACAGCCACTATGTCATCTGTAATGATACCCATGAGACTCTGCGCTTTGGCCAGGTGGACACAGATGAGAATGTGCTACTGGCAAGCCTCCACAGCCACCAGTACAGCTGGAGATCCCACAAATCTCCCCAGGTAACGCAAACACACAAAAGCTGGGAATTACCTGACACTCAGAGCTCTCTGGATTTGCTTGTTTTTACAACTTCTCCACCATTTATAAAGTTAATTAATTAATGCATGCCCCCCTGAAGAAACATGACAAATGTGTTGTTTACATCACAGCCATGCAGAGAATTAATACTGTGATAAACAGCAAACTGGTCATCATGACTTGGTGTATATCAGATATTTCCAGACAAGGCGTGGGCATTTCCTTCAGCAACTATGGTGAAAATATCCACTGGCGTAATTGAGAGGGTTTGTTTTTTTCTTTTTCTTTTTTTCCTGTTTTTACATCGATGTATATGTATTAATGTAGATGTATTTTTACTCATGGATGTGGCAGCATTCCAACGCAAAATCAGGTGTCAATCACAAATATAATGAATTAGTTATAATTCATTATATTTGTTATATTTGTTATAATGAATTATTCTTAGGTTTGGTTTTTGCCTGTGTCAACCTCAACTAAGGTTGATTCTGGGTTCTGGTTTGGGTTTCCGCCATGGGGTATGACCTCATACCAATGTGAGTTTGCACATCCATTCACCCACCCAACCATCCATCCATTTTCTATACCGCTCGTTCTCATTTGTGTCACGGGTGAGTTGCAGCCTCTCCCAACTGTCAAGAGGCGGGGAATATCCTGAATTGCTCTCCACTCAGTCATAGGGCACACAACTATTCACGCTCACATTCACACCCGAGGACAATTTAGAGTCATCTATTAACCTAACATGCGCATTTTTCGAATATGGAAAACCCACACGAGCAGAAATAGAATGAGCAAACTGCACAAGAAGGCCCGAAATTAGCTTTAACCTCAGAACCCGACACCCATGAGGCAAACATGCTAACTCCGTCACCCCTTCTCCCAACTTTTCATTCCATTCCAGAAGTGATGTTTCTCTGTTGACCTCTCATTTCATAGTTACTGCAGGTCCGTCTTTTACACTCATGCGGTTGGAACCCTTAACAGGAGGCGTCAAAATTGTGGTTCGACGTCGATTTGTTAATGTGGTACTATAGCTTTTGACAATATAAACTCAAAAAGGTAAATACCGTCCCAAACAGAGCGTAACTGTACTGCGTGGTGGACACAGTGTTCCTTTCGTCTTTCTGTCTGTGCCCAGACAGTGTTGGTAAGGAAGATTGATGATATTTAACCCGTTGTGGTTTTGAGGTTGAGTGGAGGGTGGGTTTGGCTGCTCAGAGCATAAACGTGTGGGCTCGTCGAACACATGTACTCTACGGCAAGTGTGAGAAAATCAACGTTGAGTAAAGACTTGGCTCTAATTACTCACAGTAAGTCAGGTTGTATTAATCATTCACGATGGTTAAGCTGTGCACTTACATCATTTCAAACACCCACTCGGGAGCTTGCAATCTGGCATATTGGCACGGCAAAACATCACATCTCATGTCTGAAGCGAGTCAAAATGACCTCTGTATCTTCATGATGTCTCTTAAGAAACATTGTCCAGTGATAAATAATGCGATTCCAAGATGCTTTTGTCATATGTTATTCTATCATGCGTTTGTGATACAGACTGTTAAATATGTGTTCTCGAGATGAGCATGATTTGTGAAAGTAGATAAATAAGTAAGTGCAAGTCTGCCAAAACAATCAGCTAACTTATTAAGCTTGATGATAAGTGTGTAACCGCCTGTCTGCCTTAGGACGCGCACGTAATTATTTTTCAGGGTTACACAAATAATCAAACTGATAGAAAGAGTTGTATTTCCTTAATGGCTGCCTGGAGGTTTGTTTTTGTTGCTTTTACAAATCATTTCCCAACAGTCTTAATTGGTTGCACTATTTTGCTGTACATACCTAGCTGCTTCGGAGAGTCTCTGAAACAAGTGAACACGATGAGCCATTAATCCCTCGGGACATCTCCTCTGTTAACACAGCGCAGTAATGTGTGTAGTGCAGGACAATGTTACTTTCTTTGACTTAATTTATGAATTCATTTTAATAGTGCATGACCTTTGCATTCCTCGTTCGTTCTCTTCCAACTGCAGTCTCATTTCCCGATTTCCCTAATATCATCACCAGAACGCTACAAATGACATTTTAGTTTGGCACCCATCGTGTAATGCCGTTTAGTTGTGCTCTTTAAAAACAGCAACACAGATGAGAGAAATCTCTTGGAGACACTAAACACCGCGCAGGGTGTATCAAAAACTAAAAGGCTTTTTCATGACATCTTCCTTCTAATCAAAAAGGGGGAAGAAGCTAAGACATTAATACTACCCAAAATAAAAGATGACAAAAAAACATCCAATGCACAAATTCATGAAACATTTTTAGATTATTTTAAATGTTTTTCTAATAGTGATGACCTAGAGCTATATTTTACAAGCAGAGAAGCAACAACAATGATAATACGACAGAATGTGCTGAAGAAAACTGAGCAACATTGAGGAGGAACATCATTTAACAATTAGAACAGTAACTATGTTGTCAACTTCCTTCGCTATATTTTGGTTCATCTTTTTTTCCCAAGCGATTGTTTGTTATGGGTTTTTTTATAATTGCACTTACTGTAAAGACCTTGCATGTGGTGTAGAAGAGCTACAGTTGCCAATGTCATTTTCAGATGTTTGACTGGCTGGAGAACAGTAAAACAGTGATTAAGCATTCTTCCGCAGAAGCTGCGGTTAACTCAGGTCTCACCAAGGCACTCACTGACAGCATACGGCACTGCACCGGTTCCCCGCTTCTTAAAGGCTTGGACATGGACAGTATTTTGTTGACATGCTATGCTTTCCGTTTGTTTATATTTAGGTGTACATGTACATGTGTTGTTTTTTTTTTTTTAAATGGTCACGAAAAAAACTCAAGACACAAATTTTCAAATTTTGAGTTTTTAGCTTGGCACAAACTCAAAGTAGTGACTCAATTTCAGGCTTGAAAACCTGAATCTCCCTGACTGTCACGTGATTTCACTCCCTCAGATGGGAATGTGAAGTTGAAGTCTCCCATGATGCCTTCCTCTGTCCAAGCTGTAACTATCAGTTTCCCTTTCTCACCACAATGTACAGTTAATTGTTGAGTGTCTTGATTGAGTACTGCGGTGTTAGGAATCAGGTGTCCTCCTATATTTTATTATTTATTAACTAATACTTTTATTGAGCGCATAATACGTGTATGTGATTGAGTCACTGTGGCTGAGAGCACACGTGTGTGCTCTTTAATGAAGTCTTGTCAGTTCTTTCCCACAGCTGCAAACAGGAGCTGACGAACTGCTCGTGCCTTTTGGCGCTGAAGGTGTTGTGCTTGAAAATATTGTTGCCACCTTCAAGTAGTCACTTTTTATGATTTTTGATGAGTAACTGTCGTCTGATTACCTGACTGGTGAAAGTAGCATAGATAAGTTGTTGGAAAAAAATTGGAGTTTACTGGCATCATGGCATACTGATCATATTGTCCATGCCCTCTTTCTGACCAAGCTTTTTTTCCATGTATGTACAATAGATCCTCTCACCTCTCCTGTTCATCGTCCTTTTTTTTTTTTTTTACTCTGCATGAAAATCGGGGCCTTCAGCCTTTCCTCATGCCTCTGGTATGATGTCTGCGTCTGAGCTGAAATGTCCCACAGGCGCATGCAAAATCATTTTCTGCTGTAAAACTATCAGTTCCCTTCCCTTGAATTCTTTATTATTTCTCTGCAAATCCCCTGAGAACTCACAAAATGAGATGGGTGTGCAGGGGTAGGGGAGGCAATGGGAGTTTGGGGCAGAATGAATTGGATTAATCAAAGAAACTGTAAGAGTTGTAAAATCCACTGGGAAGAGAGAAACAAAAAAAACAAAGGCAAAGAGGCAGAGATAATGCTCACTGGTCCAGAGAACCCACAATGACAACAAAGACGAAACTCAGTACGGTAGTAGCTTGACTTGAGTGCACCACCTTGTGAGTTTCCTGAGTTACAAGCCATTGGCCGTTTTTTTTTTTGTTTTTTTTTTAATGAGGGCGTCGGAGGTCAGATCGGTGGAGCATGCACAAACATATACTCTCTTGCTAGTTGAAGGCGGCAAATGCCACAACATCCACCTAGCATCCTGTTTCTCATTCACAATTTTTAAAAGTTGACTTATGAACTTTGTCGAGGAACAGCTCAAACGCATAAGTCAAGGTAGCACTGTACTACTACTTTGCTCTGAAATGACTCTCTCAATGTTTCTGCTGCTCTCAATCTTTTCTCCATTAAATGTGCCTCCTTAGAGTGTCCATCAGCCACAAGCGTAAAAATAAATTCAGGACAGCCTCATTCTCCTCCGTTGATGCTGTTTTTTAATACATGTCATTCCGAGTGATGCATTAAATGCTCCGTCGGTTTCTGCTTTGTCCCACAGCGCTAATTTGAAACAAACCTCTGAAACCGAGGCAAATCGAGCATGGACAAGTGCGGAAACGGTGTTCATGCAGCATTATTTCTCATACTTCCACCTGTTCTCACCTAATAGATGTACTTATAAAGAAGAAGGACAGAAGACAATTCCTTGAACTGAGCGGAACATCTACGTATGTGCTTGTGTTCACGGGGATAGCGTATAGTGTTAACGTCTGAAATAGAAGTGAGTAATGTGTCTGACTCCGAGCAGTCAAATCAGACAACACTTGCCATGATGTTGACATACCTCTGCATATGTGTCACTTCTCTCCCATGGAACACTCCAGCAGAGTGTTTTCTCAGTGAAACGCGAACCTTAACTCAGGTCACACTCGCGCTCAGTGCTCCTGTGTTTTTTGGGGTTTTTTTTACCGCTGTTTCTTCTACCAATCATAACCATAAATTGCATTCAAAAGGACAAATGAGGCAGTCACGTTCTCCAGGTCGGCTATTCCCCGACCCTTACGCACACCTACACGTGATCAAATCTGTCCTGCAATCTGGAGACTGTCAGTGCTCGAAGTCTAGTGGTGCTCGGCTGTAAAGCCCCGCATGCCTTCACACCCCAGCAGT